ACACCACAGTTCCCTCTGTTCAGCTTTTGGAGCATCTCCTGGGGATCTGGCCCTGCCTTTTGTCCCACAGGGACGAGCAGCGAGGCAGGAGGGTTGGGTGGGCTTCCTGAGCCAACGTGCTCATAGAGGAGAATGGCTCTCACCCAGTATCAGCGAGGCCCACGAGGGAGGAAGGGTTCCCGCCATCCACCTGCGTGCAGGGACAGGAAAGGAGCGGAGGTTTGGCGATCTGAGCTTTGTGCACAACCCTGATGAGAAAGAATCGTGTAAGGCAGAAGGCGGGGAGCGGAGGGGAGAGGAGAGGCGCAGGCGCCGCTGTGTTACAACAAACCTCGCTCGGGAAGCGGCCAGCGGTTATTCAGGGGGTGTTGAAGCACGGGAGGCTGGAGCAAGGGTGTCCCGCAGCCCAGCCACGTCCCTGGACGCAGCAAGCCTGGCAGGCTGGCTCCCTCCCCATGGCGAGAGGTGTGAGGCAGCGAGCAGCACTTTCCTAAAGGTCCTGACCCGCGGCTGGAGCGTGTCTACGTCGCTTCAAGCCACAAAATAACTGTACTGTGCCAGTACTCTGCTGCTTAACCACGCCGGTGCTTCAACAACAGTGTCTCAAAAGAAGGGGAGGGGTATTTGGGGCATTAAAACTACAGAATCCTCTTTTCTGCATCTGAGACCAAACACCTCTCGGGGAGCAGAAGGCAGCCTTGCTGCCAAGATTCTCCAGCTCCCGGTTTTACATCCGCCACAAAGAGACGGTGGGGCAGAGGGAATGAAGTCCAGTGGCAGCTCATGGGCTCCAGCCGCGAGTCCCAAGTGGTTCGCAGGACTCGGAGCGGCCGGCTGAAGGGAGAGGCCGCCCCGCAGAGCCCTGCTGCCCACGCCGTGCAAACCACCCCAGCGGAAGACAAATCTGAAGGTCTCAGCACTGGAGCAGTGGGGCAGGATGGTCCCTCTTCCCTTGGGAAGCTGGTCAAGAACAGATCTGTGGCTGTTGTAGGGGCAGGAAGGAAGAGAAGGAACGCCAACTTTCTGCTGAAGAAGTGCGAAGAGTCTCCACGTCCGGGCGCTGGTTTGTGTGTGCTGCTGAAGTCCCCATCGCACCACCGACGGGTCTGGGAGGAAGAGGAAGGCTGGGAGGAAGGGGAGGAGCACCAGGCCACCTGGCTGCAGTTGGAGCTGCTCAGCCCCCTTCACAACTTCTGGATCTTCTCAGCAATAACGATGGGGTTCTCCTTACGGATCTTCTCCGCGGCTTCTGCCTTGTAGTCGTAGGGGCAGGCGTGCATGTCGGAGTACCGGTGAATGGCACAGAACAGGTTCCCACAGCGGCAGTCGAAGCCTGAAAGGAGGAGGAGCAGAGAGACAAAGCCACGTTAGTCCCCGGCCAGCCGGACAGGAAGGCAGCAGGGCCCCCTCTCTTTCCTGCCGGGCCAGGAAACTCCACTAATGCAGAAAGAGGGTCAGATGAGGGAGGGGGGGCCATTGTCCTTGACAGGCAAAAGGGAGTTTCAGTGTGGGGGAAGACCACGGGTTGTTCTTCAGTTTCCTCTGGCTTAGCTGATCCTGTGAGCGCACGCGTGCTCTGGGCAGCCCCAGCTGTCACGGCGGTGGGAAACGCTCTCAGAGCAGCTGCTCTCCGCGTTCCCCGGGGACAAGGGACATGCCGGGGACTGCAGAGTACCAGATTGCTAAGCCAGACCAGGCTCCCCAGGCTGCAAGGAGGCAGCCTGCGCTGGAGCCGAGCCCTCCGAGCCAGCCTGGCTCCCCAAGCGTCACGCAGCAGCATCTGGACTGACCAGCAGTAAGCCAGCAAGCAGCAAAACCTTCACCTCGTTAGGATCACTTTTGAGCTATTTAGGTTTCAAAATTCATAATTTAGTCCCTTCACTTGGAGATAATGCTGTTCTGAAGTGCTACCGTTATCACAGCACATTGGGAAACTGAGGCACGGAGCAGGAAGGGAGTTTGCTGCAGGACAGCAGATCAGCTCCCCGTCGCGCTGGACTCGCACTCCTTGCTTTCACGAAAGGTTTCCAACTACAGGCTGTAAGGACCACAAACACCTTGCTACAAGGTGCCAGTTTACTCCTATTTGAGAAAACTCATTTTATCCCAAGTGCCCTGAATTCACAGGAGTTCTCTGCAAGTTGATTCCTAAAGGAGAGGAAACTTCTCACAGTTTGAAGCTCTTAAGGAAACATCCAGGAAAACAATCCCCCCTGCAGATCTGAAGGGTGGGCACAGAGAACCCTGCCCAGTCCTAGGCTCATAACCCCATGTTTATTTTATGGCAGCGCCCTCAAAATCCAGGCAAGCCCGGGTTCCGCAGTGTCAGGCGCTGGGCAAACCTCCCAGGCCAGACCATGTCAAGCAGCTCACATCAATGAAAGCAGAAGCGTGTGTGCAGTGCCTGGCTGCTGAACGCACCGAGGAGGCTAAAGAGGCGAGCGCTCGGCTAGAACAGCGTGACCTGCATAGCTCTGGAGTTAACTTTTTCCAGGGAAACACTAAATGCCAGAGTCAATTTAGGGGAATGATGTTTTTATTAACAAACCACAGCCAAGTTAATTGCTTCATGAATTGCCTTTCCAGGGGCAGTTTTCCCACTGATACCAGTCACCTGACACCGTCTCAGCTCTTCTCTCTCTTCAGCTTTACAGACTGAACACTGAGAGCCATCCTGCTCTCAGGAAGCTAACGGCACAAGTGAAGCAGCATTAACAAACAGGATGAGTCTTGGAGTGCGATTTTCAGTTTGGGTCTAACTCGGTTCGTGTCACTATTAGGAAAGCTTTACCGCTGCCTTGAATAGGAGCAGAATTAGATCCACAGCGAGCACTGCCCTTGCTTCTACAAGCAGCTTTTGCCAAGCAGCAGAAATAACCCGAGAGGCCAGGCTCCATCCAGCTCCACAATCCTGCATGCAAGGGCTGGCAGGGACCCTGAGGATGAGTGGCAGATTCCCTGAGCTCCTGCCTCGGCCAGTGCTGTTCGCGGGTCAGAGCTCCCCTCTCACCTCCCCTGCAGCACCACGTCTTGCGGATGTAAAGTACTTTTTGGAGGGGTACGTCCAACCACTGACCCACGCCAACCCTCTGAACCCAGGCACTCTCACAGCACAAGGAGATCTGTTTGCAGGGCTATGAAACCAGACTAGTCAGGCCACAGGCAAGCTTTCCCCACAGCCAGGGTCTTACCGGTTAGCCCTATCTTCTTCCGGCAAGTGAAGCAGCGATTCTTCTTCTGTTTCGGTTTTTCTGAAGCTGTCTTGCCCTCAGCTGTGTTCTGGGATATTTCAAGCAGGGTACCTGAAACAGAGGCAAGAGTTTTGCTACTCTTCTTGATAAACCAAGCAATGCATTCGGTTTATTACAGGAGCTGCTTGAGGCCCTACCGATTCTGGGTCTGTGCCAGACACCTCTTGTGCGCACGTCGCCCTGGCCGACATACCCCAAACTGTGAGATTTGCCTTGTTCCACAGACATCTACACCTCACACGGCCTCATGTTTTCTCGCTGTTTCAAATTCCTTAAGTCGAAGGCTCAGAAACACCAAGGAGATATTACGGTTTAGCTAAGGCATACGTAAGATAATGTGATGCCATTTAGTTCCT